ACCAGCTGTCTCTTAACACGTCACACTGATGTCACCCAGACCACTACTCCGCCAACAACGAGGAGGCCCAGTAAGATGAGGGCTCTTCTATTTTGCTTTGCTGAGCCTTCACATCCATTCTGTAGTGCTGTAATTCAAACAAGTGTTTCTTTATAACTGATATTATACAAAGTTCTTTACTCTATGGGTGTTTACCACATTTCAACATGTTATGTGTAACTTGGTGATTTGCTGTCTATCTCCCAAGCAGTGTTCTAGAAATAAAGTATTGTCCCAGGAGGGACATTAAGCACCAGAGCATGAAAAACGGTTTCTTGTGAGCAATTCATAACAGCTCTCAGACAGTTAGCACTATGACAAACAGAGGTAACAACTGATCTTAAACAGTGCATAAACCACATTTAACAGCTTATCAGCAAAACAGTTGCGCAAGTGTATTTTGCCCCTTTTTGTTTACTTGGTGAGAAAATAGCTTGGAAACAATTGCTGGTTCAACAGTGACTTCCCCCATCAGTTTAATAGCTGCATTTCATTTTCTTGAAATAATCTTACCATTTAAACTGCTTAATTAATAGTATTCACTATTTCTTTTCTCTCTCTTTTCACCCAGGGGCCACATTTGTTGTGGATGAGGGGTCTTCAGCTACCGTTACAATGAGCCACTTGTATGCCACTGATCCTGACACCCAGGCAGATGACTTGCTGTTTGTTTTAGCATCACCTCCCCAGTTTGGGTACATGGAAAATATATTACCTTCCCCTGGCTTTGAGAAAAGCAATGTAGGGATAAGTATTGGTATGTATTGTATATATTATTTTTTGCTAGAATGAATGGTAGCTTCTCTCTTAATCCATGCACCTAGGATGGCCTGTCATTTGGTTAGAGGGGCCTCTCCCCACGATGGGGGTGGAGACTCTACACGGAGACATTAGACTATAAGCCACCACAGTGAGGGACACTGCCACACTCTTTGTTATATATGATAAATATAATGTAGTATGTTGGTATGTGCCCATCTGGGCTCCTTGCTGTGTTGGTTTTTAACTGATTGTGGATTTTACCTTAATTTACAGAGCTTTGTACATGCATTAAGTGTTCAATGCCCAGGGAGATTTGTTTGTGGGGTATTTAAGAAAAGTGTAATAAAAAGTAGTCTCTCAGAATTTGAGACCACTAGATGGTGCTGCTTCAAGTGACTTTCCACATTCATGTGATGCTAAAATGGCCTTAATGTTTGAAGTATTGCATTCAGGCAGTACTGTATATCTAAAACCTGGACACAAAATCAATTCTCCCTTAAATGAATGTGCATTTTGCATAGTTCTTATCTTATGTGTATACTTTCGTTCAAAATACACAGGATAGTTAACTATTTCTATTAATTTGCTATTGCTTTTTAATACCTAGCCTCATTCCAGTTGAGAAATGTGAAGGACCTGCACATAAATTATGTCCAGAGCAGGCACAGGAGGACTGAACCAACCACAGACCAATTTATGCTTTATGCTACTGACGGAAAACAGCGTTCATTGGAGATACCATTTTATGTTTTAATCACTCCAACCAATGATGAAGTCCCAGAATTCACAGCAAGGAATATTACGGTAAGAAAGGAAATACCGCATCCTTTGTGTCTCTGTGCCAAAGACATAAATATTTGGCTCCTGCTTTCAGCTCTCAGAATAACTTCAGTGCCTTTCATCTTACATAACATATAACCAAATCCAAGGAACTCTATGCACTAAGCATATTTTCCAGATGTTTTATAGGGATTTCTGGCTCTCTTAAAAGATTTAATCAACAATAACTGTCCCATATTTTGGCCCTCCATCACCTTCCTGAATCTGAACTTGCCCATATAGTTGGAGCTTCTCCTGTCTTGCTCCATGCTCCATGGGCCACTTTCAGTCCTCAAAATAATAATAATAATAATAATAATAATAATAATAATAATAATAATAATAATAATAAGAATAAGAAGAAGAAGAAGAAGAAGAAGAAGAAGAAGAAGAAGAAGAAGAAGAAGAAGAAGATAACTAAAAATATATGATCAGTTGATTCCAGCATCCAGAATTAATACAATTTTGGGCTATATATAGCACAACTTGACTAGTTCTTAATCTGTCTGCAGGCTCCCCTTTCCATTCCAGCTACTCCTATCCCCAATTGAGGATGATGGAATGTTTAAGCATTCTGGTTTAAGATCATTATATTCTTATTCTTGTCATGGTATCTTTGGTCAGCCAGAAATGATGGAAAATTCAAGAGCTTCCTGTTGAAAGTATCAGATGCCTCTATTTCATGGGAGACGTGGGCACACTGTTGAAAGATTTCATAAGTTTCTGCAGTGAGAAAAGAGTGATTTGATATGAAACCCAAAAGAGGATCTTTCAAGCCATTACATTCTTTTTTTTTCTGGGAGAGCTTGCCCTCAGAGTTCTGATGGACAAGATTAGTGTTTAGAGGTCCCTATTTCCACAAGGCTTTGTAAGAAGCAGAAGAGGAACAGTTTGTAGTTGTATGGCTCTCTAGGTCTGAATGGGGGATCCCATTTATATTGGAAGATCCTCGGACAGAAGGATCACTCATTGGCTCTTTTGATTACTTCAAATCATTGATCCGTAGTTATTTTTGCAGCTTGAGCTGGATAATGTGGACTTGATTTTCTTATTGCTCTCTCATTCCTGCTTCCCCCCACCCCTGTGTTTGCAGACTGCATTTGGCTCCAGAGTGTAAATTGCTCCAAGCTTCTGTTGTTTGTTGTTTATGTAAAATCCAGGAATGTACCCAAATAGGCTGTGGCAGGTCACAAAGAACAAGCAATGAATAGTTTGTTGGAAATGTTTAGAGTAAAATATAGATAAAACAAATTTAATAAATAAAATAAAGCAGGATTAGTTAGATTAAACTAAAAGTAAGTCTAGGCAGCTCTGGCAGCTATTTGCGTTATATTTTTGTTTCCGCTGTTAGTGTTTTGGTTTTTAATTGCCTGTAAATAGCCCAGAATAGTGTCTTGGCACTAATAGGACAGAATATACATTAAAGCTAATAATAATAATAATAATAATAATAATAAGAATAATAAGAATAATAAGAATAAGAAGAAGAAGAAGAAGAAGAAGAAGAAGAAGAAGAAGAAGAAGAAGAAGAAGAAGAAAATCAGTAAATATATGATTGGTTGATTCCAGCATCCAGTTAATACAACAACAACAACAACAACAACAACAACAACAACAACAACAACAACAACAACAACAACAACAACAACAATAATAATAATAATACAATAGAGATAATGGGGATTCTAAATGAAATTGATCCACTGTCACCATCTTGCTCTTTGGCCCAAGTCTAGGTTGGTTATTATAAACACAGGATAGAGTTATGTAATGGGCAGAATGACAGATGAGGACTCAGGAGGTTTGAATCCACACTTTGCCATGGAAACTCACTGGGAGATCGGAACTCGTAAAACCCCTCCTTAAATATCTTGCTCACCCTGAAAGTCCTGTTAAGGTCGCTGTAAGTCAGTCCTGACTTGACAGCATGTAACATTATAAAGGGACGTGGTGGTGCTGCGGGTTAACACGCAGAAACCTCTGTGCTGCAAGGTCAGAAGACCAGCCATTGTAAGATTGAATCCACGTGTAGGAGTGAGCTTCCGTCGCTTGTCCCAGCTCCTGCCAACCTAGCAGTTCGAAAGCATGCAAATGCAAGTAGATAAATAGGGACCACCTTGGTGGGAAGGTAACGGCGTTCCATGTCTAGTCGCACTGGCCACGTGACCATGGAAACTGTCTTCGGACAAACGCTGGCTCTATGGCTTGGAAACGGGGATGAGCACTGCGTCCTGGAGTCAGACATGACTGGACTAAATGTCAAGGGGAACCTTTACCTTTACCTAACATTATAAAAACAGTAAATTAAGGTATGTGTGGAGGTGGGATTGTTTGCTTTTGTTCTTAATTCCTTTAAGAATGCACTGCATCCCTTTTTATTTGTTTACATAGTATCCTTCAAGGAATGGTGGATGGAGGTAAGGATGGCAGAAATGGGAAAGGCTTACAAGGAATTGTGAGAACCATTAGTCTCTGCTTGCAGAAGCAGCTGGGCAAGCTTGCATTTTGTCCAGTCGTTGAGATAGCCATACTGTTCTATCAGAGGAAAAAAGTTGATGGTTTCATTGTAAAGTCTAGTAATGGTTTATGGGGATTGATTAAATTAGTACCTACAAGAGTGAAAAGTCGATTTTTATAACCAATTCTGTAATAGTAAGTGCCATTTACCTTCCTTTGACTACTTAGGTGGAAGAGGGGCAGATGAAAGAACTGGACCCTTCGGTAATCAATGTTATGGATCTTGATGTACCCCAAGATGCCCTGATGTTTACTGTCCTCCAACAACCGCACCATGGACTCCTTGTAAATGGGATATATGGCAATGATACCATCCATTACAGACAGGCAATTAACAGTCACCACCATCATGAAATTCCTGTGCGTTCCTTCCCCATGGAGTTTTTAAAAAATGGTAGCTGCCATTTTCTTTTATACTATTTTCTTAGTTCTTTAAAGCAATTATTACCATACATTGGAACAGTATGAAAAACTTATGTCTTCCTTCTCTACTTAGTCCAAAAGCTGTTTTTTGCATTTTTCTATTTATATTTAGGGATAGTAATTAAAACTGTAATACTTTTTACGGTTACTTGGGAGTAAATAGTATTTGTTTTATGAATAAATATACATGTTTTTATAAATAAAGACACATAAGAGCAAACTAGAAATCAGTTCACTATATTTTATGCTGCAATATTTTGTAAGCCTTAGCTTTTCCCAGCCTAATGCCTTCCAGACTTATTCTTTATGCCTGCCTCATACAGCATGAACAATGACTATGTAGTCCAATACATCTGAAGGGCCACAAGTTGAAGACTGTTTTAAATCTACTTAGAAGATCCACTCAGGGCCAAACTAGACAAATACAGGTAACATGTTCTTAGAAGCAAAGCTCTGTTAAGAGAATAAAAAAATGAGCTTTGCTTGATCTACAAATAAGCTTGTTTTTGTTTTGTTATCAGTTACCAGAAGTATGCCTAGGTTTGTTTACATATATTCTCTCTCAGGCTGTGACACTGAAAGATTTGCATGCCAGGTGGGGCACTTTATGAGGAGGAAATATGTATTTCCCCTCCACCTTTTATCCGACTTTCCATTCAATGTGTGTTTGCAGGATATTGTACATAGATGTTAGGCTGCAGTCTTATAGATAATTTACCTGTGTGAAAAGCCCACTGATCTCATTTGGTCTAATTTCTTTGTAGATACACAAGGAGGTGTTTTATTTACATAATATCCCTTATAAAATCTTTCTAAGGGGCAGCATATATAAATAAATAAATATTTGGTATAATAACATTGAAAACGAGTGATTGCATTTGCACTGTGAATCAGTGCCCAAATCATGGTGCACAGATTGGTATCTGATTTACCTTGTGCTCTTTTTTGACACATTGAGCAGATCTTTGTCTGGATCTACGATGGTTTTTGTGTGATTCCAAATCTACGTTTTTTTAAAAAAATACCATGAATGGCAAAATGCAAATAGACAGGATTTGAGGTGGGGGTTAGGGTTGGGTCAGCATAGCAGTAGCTGTAGGGAAAGGTTGCTGAACTAGGTTGATTTCTGGTCTGATCTAGCACAGCTTTTCTTAGGATCTCCTATAGATTTATACTAAAGCAAGTTCTATGCAGCTTACCTCCAAGCATAACTTAGAAAGAGGAGCCTTCGAGAATACATAACTTAGAAAAGTTAGGATTCTTGGACTTCTACGCCCAGAATGATCCATAGCATGGCAATGATGGCTAGAGGACTGAAGCAGTTGTAAATTATTTTAAAAAGTAACTTCGTCATGCTCCTCTCCCAAGGGCTCTTTGTTATGTAGGAGCATCTTCAGTGCATCAGAAATCTTTTCAGGCCAGGAAAGGCCACAACGGATTTCTTCTCAACATTTAAATAAAAGATATAAAAAGGGGTGAAAAGTAATTTTTATCTAGGCACTAGAAGGAAGTGTGTGTGTGTGTGTGTGTGTGTGTGTGTGTGTGTGTGAGAGAGAGAGAGAGAGAGAGAGAGAGAGAGAGAGAATTAGAAGACAGACTTGTTCCTCCCATTGAACTAAAATGGGCTGCTTGGAAAGGGGAGTTTATTACTTGAAGAGCCCACAGTGGTGTTTATGAGCCAATGACGTGCTGATGGATTAATGAACAGCTGTTGTGTTCAAGGCTTGCCCCAGGTTCATTGAAACAAGTTGGCTGTGACCAGCAGACATGGTTGGCTATGTGGTCTAAGGGGAAATAAGGCGAGAACATGAATAAGTTTTTAAAAGGAAACAGACTGATCTTTCTCCTTTTCTTTCCTCTTTTCTCTTGTAACCATCTCCCTTGCCTCATCTTCCAGGAATGCGGCTGATGTACATGCATGATGATTCTGACAGCTTAGCTGATGGTTTTTCAATCCAGCTCTCAGATGGGAAACATACAGTGTCAAAAACCATTTTGGTAGAGGTCATTCCAGTTAATGATGAGAAACCAGTGCTGAGCAAGTAAGCCACATGTCCCTGTTTTCAAATTGGTGCCCTGACAAAACGATTCAGCAGTGATTGAAACAGCAAATTAATGATTAATACAGCTCGTCTCCTCTAAATACTCGTTGTCCAATGCCAACAGTGTTTCACAAAAGCAGTCCTCAGTGAAGGACATCCCTGTTGTGATCAATGGGAGTAAAAGAGCAGAATATGAATCAAGGGTAATGGCAAACAGATTACATGACTTGAATGTGCATATTCAAATAATATATGAAAGACATACAAATAGTATATCCAGTATATTTAATCTCCGGTCTTCTTTGGGAAAATAGTTTAAAGGCAAGGATAAGCCTTGTATACCCTCTGCTGATCATTTCACGCTTTAAGGAGTAGAGATGTAAAATTTCTGAAATTTTGATTTTTTTTTCCTGGAAAAAATCTTCTGGAAAAAAATTGAAATTTTCAGAAATTTTTAATCTCTGTTGAGTAGACCTTCTCTGTCTCACTTCTTACCAAAGAAGATGAGACAGAACTTCCACCAGTTACTTTGACTACAACTCCCAAAAACCCTCAGCCATCATGGCAACTGCCCGTGCTGTTTGCAGGTTTTTCTAGTGTTCATCTGAAACACTCAAAAGTCAGATTGACTCTAATTCTATCCTTTTCTCTCTATCATTGCAGCTTCTCTTCTCTCCATTGGTATATTTCTTTTGTGATTATGGAAACTTATGTTTATTCTGTGCATGTGCGTGTGCAAAAGGCATCATTTGGGGAATGTATATTTTTTAAGACTGGTATTGTATGCTAGCAAAGTGCATTGGGCTGCCACTGACTCTGAAATGACACAAACTTCTCTAATAGCTAGTACATTGCTAAAAAGAGAGTACTTACATTTGTACGTAACACCAAGGAAAAAAACCTAAAGGAAGCTTATGTGCTTGGAGGGTGGTGGTAGCTGTTACATAACTATTATGAGCCTCATGACACCGTAGTTAAAGCCAAAACTCTCTTCATGACAGGGGTTCAATCCCAGTAGGCAGGTTGAGGCTGACTTGGTCTTGCATCTTTCTGAGGTCAGTAAATTGAGTACCCAGCTTGCAGGGGGTGGGGGTGGGGAGGGAGAAATATGTCGCTTGTATAATTAAATTGTAAACCACCCAGAGAGTGCTTTAAGCACTATGGGACAGTACATAAGCAGCACACATTTTTACATAGGAGAATCCATACGTACCATATGTGGTTACCTCTCTGATACAAAGAGAAACAACAGCTGCTGAGAAGAAAGAGGCAAAGCCATGTAGATATCACTAAATGGTCACTTAGGAAAGGCAAGAGTGAAAAAGATTAATTATGTGCTGCCAAGTTTATTCAATTTTATGGTTACCCTTCTAGGATCTTCTTGGTACCAGGTACTGAAAAGTAGTTTGCTAGTTCTTTTTTGTCTGAGCGTATTCTGGGATGGTCCAAGGCTACATCGGTGGCAGGCCATGTTAGGCCCATCAGCCACACGTGCCTCAGGTGATCTTGAATGCACTGTCATCCAGGAGGCACAATTGTGATTCAGATGCCAGCCAGCCAAGCAGGCCAACTCACTGGACTGCAAGTGAGCTGCTTTAAAGCGATCCTTATGTCTGCCAGGGAATTGCTCCCGCCTGGCATCCCAAAATAGAAACCCTACAAATGAACCAAAAAGGTTCCGTTTGGGCATGGATTGAGGTTGGGCTGGAGGGCACTGCCTTGCACGTTATGTGATCACTAGGAAACAGGTTGCACTGGGCTACTCCACAAGCAGTTCAAATTGCCACCTATTTCTCCATGTGATCACACCCTAAGCAGCATAAGATCAGCCTGCTCCTCATTTCTGTGCCTGAAACCATTTCACAGACGAGCTTCTCTCCTGGGCTACTCACAAGCACGGGGTGGTAGGAAGATGGCAACACCACCACCCCAAGCTTGGAAACAATTTCTGGAGGCTGTTTTTTGGGAAGGCACTACAGTTCCTAGAATCACCTAGAGAGCTTGAGCATACTGGGCTGTGGGATTCTGGAAGGTGCAGTAAAACAAACAAAAAAACTCTTTTTCACTCCGGGCATCGCTATTCCCATATCAACTCCTTTCTCTCATACTGCAGTTATGTGAACATGGGCTGCAGTGATAACACTAAATGGAATACAAATCAATCTTTTTCCTCTTCAGGACACGAGGGGTGGCAGAGCAAAGTGCATGCTGAGAATAGCCTAATTCTGTGCATTTTCTTTCCAGAGAAAACCCAAGTGAGTTAATGGTGGAATGTTTATTTCTTGCAATAAGTGGACATAGAAGTCATGTATTTTTATACTGGCTTTCTTCTGCTTGAGAGTGGAGCAAGTGTAAATTTAGCCGCTCTCTTATTCTGAAGCGCACACATGTGGGCTAGTGTTGGCTTTCCAGAACAAGATAGATGCTATGGCTGGCTCCTAACCGCTTGATATTATTCAAGATTTCCTCTCAAGGCAAGAGGGAAGAGAAGGCAGGATGATTAAACATTCCTGATACTCCTCCTGCTGTCATAGGAACATTTTATTTTCTCTTGTTTTTCACTGGTAATCTGAAAACAAAGGTTTTGTCTGGCTGCATTTGAAATCGTCCCTCACTCCTCTGTATATTTGTGTATGTGTGTCTAAGGGGGAGAGAAAGAGAGAGAGGCAGAGGCAGACAGGCAGAGAGAGTTGTTCTTTGAGTCATTCTTCCTGTCAGTATCCCAGTGATTATTTTTTCAATTTAAACAAATGCACAATGAGTCTTTTGTTTTCTTGTTTATTCCAGGAAGGGTAAGATAAAGGTGAATATGGGGAAAGCCCAAATTATTTCTACTGCTGTCCTGTCAGCTGAAGATAAAGACACCCCCAGGGAACAAATTTATTATTTATTTGATAGAGTCCCAGAGAATGGGCATCTTCAGCTCAAGGTCAGTCTTTGTATTTCAACAAAATACAACTAGATATTAGGAAAAAGAACCCCGTATTTCTGGGGTTAGAATGGGAATGAGTATAATCCTTCTGTTTGCTAAATGTCTCTCATGGGCTTGAAACACACTGCAGAGGCACAGATAACTCTGTCTTGATCCTTGGAATAAACCAATGATAGATGTTCTGTTTGGGCCAAAGGAACCTCTGCCAACAGAGTTCTTTGAGGGGAAGCTGATCTGTATGTGTTGTGGGGAAAGAATGAGAGAGAGTTCTAGAGCCACACCACCATGTTCTCCTTATTATTCTATGTTTAATATGTACTACTGTTTGTATTCTTGGGGCAGAATGTGTGAGGAAGTCGAGTGAGACCTTGGTATATAAGCTTTCTTACTAATTATGCAGTAGATAAAACATTTAAGTCAGGAATTTACAGAGGAGATTAAGCTACAAGCCTCCCTTATTAGACCATCCCTTAGTTGTTAGTTTACCTCAACTGGCACTTACTGTCTCAATACATTTATTCAGAGACTCTGGTAATGAGAAAGAATAAATATTCTCATTCACTTACAGTTCTTCATAGATAAAACCAAACTTCATATTGTGTAAAACTGTTGTTACATCACTGAGCTTTACTGGCTAACCAGCTTCATTACTGATTAACACACTGGATAGCTAACAGAACACATCACTCTAACCACCTGCTTCTGACAGATTCTGTTGCTAGCACTGACAGAACCCTGACTAATTGTAAAATGGTGGGGGAAGGAATCTGAGGCAGACAGGGAACAATTATCTGCTACTGGATAGTCTGAGATCCACCCCAGTTCAGAAATGTCCCTTCCAGACAAAATCTCTTAAAGGCATCATATGTAGGCTGCAAAATATCCAACATATATCAATCCATATATCTGCCAGAGGCAGAGTGTGGTAAAGTTACTTTTCTGGATTACACCTCTAAAAATTCCTTCCTGGTACTGTAGTCCAAAAAAGTAACTTTTCATACCTCTGGTAAGAACAATAACTTTTCAAAGCTATGACTAATGGCTATAGATTATCAGATCTCATCAGTACACATTCACACAATGAATTCAGTAACATACAGCAAAGATTGTTTGCACAAAGTAAAATCTGGTATAATATGTAGTATTTTATTTGTTTAATGACAGTTTTTCTTTCTAGGTAGGTCATGAATGGGTAACACTCCAGAATGGGATGAAGTGCACCCAATGGGACATAGACATGAACTCCGTGAGATATTTACATACTGGAACAATTGGCTCGAAGGAGCAAGACAGTTTTGAGTTTCACCTGTGGGATGGAAATAACCTATCGCCAGTGGTGGTTTTCCCAATTGTCATCAAGGACATAGACAAGGGTAATTCCATTTTTGATGTTCACATTTGTTCCCCTCCTGCAATCTGAGAATCATTGTCACAATGCTGAATTTCCGCATGTGATCTTGAGCATGGTTACTGGATCACCAGCCAGGCTATATTTGTGGCAAGATGGAAATTATTGTCATCACAGTTGCTGCTGGAAAAAGTGCAGGCATTGTCATACAGAGGTGGCCACCTCTCACCCTGTGTGTAGCCCAGTTCATGCTGACCTTTCTTCATGTGGCTGTATACTGTACAGTGAGTGCATCAAATAATTTAGCACTGTGTTGTACAAGTCTCAATAATTTAGTGCTGTGTGTAAGTTTCAAGGAACGTATGTAGCTTCACATGCTCGCAGGGACTTAACATACATCCCAAAGAATTAATTATAAGGGATTTGGCAAATATTTGTTTTGTTATGAAGGAAAGAAGACATGATGATGTTGCACTGGTACATATCAGGACATGTGGGACTATTCCAACTCTATTCCTTAAAAGCCTTCCATACCAGCTCCTTCCTGATCTTATGGAGTGTCATGCCACACCAGTGTCTTACACATAGAACTACATACATGGCAGAGAGCTTAGTTGTATACACACAACATAGTCAGCCTGCATGTGAAATACTGCTGTCTCATTGTGCACAGGACAGTGTGATGGGTCTCGCTTCCTGCCTAGGTCTTTTGAAAGCGAGATGCTAACCACAAGCAGTCCATGGTTTATGTATTATGACCCATGAACACTAAACTGTGGCTTGTATCTTCCCAGCTAGAGTCATATGACATGGTTTCTTTTTAATTTGTGGCTTAGGAGAGAGAAAAGCCAGAGTCCCTGGTCTGGTATATAACAATAAACTACAGACCAACTATGCATCTGCCATCCACCTCTTTAGCCATTCCTGCTTGCAGTGGGAACAATCTAGGGGCATGTGCCAGAATGCTGCCTCAGGCATAAGAAGCCTGCTTCTGGCTTGTTGCATCATATGAAAATGGATGCAATAATTTTTCTGGCGTCATTCTTTATATTCCCAGTGTGAATAGGAAGAAGCATGAGAAGTGCATTGATTCTTCTTTAGACAAAAAATATGAAGTCCCTGCTTGAAACTGTGCATTGAAGAACATGAGATGAAACTAATTATCAGTTCTTATGTAGCCAGAGTCCTAGGCATAAGACATATGTTATTGTGATGACCCTAGTTGGCTTTTTAAAGTATGTGAGATATTCAAGGAGTGGATGACTATTGCCTAGTGAGTTTCCTTGGCTATGCAGAGAATTGAACCCAGGTGTCCTGATCCTTAGTTTGTCACACTATCAGCTACATCAGACTAACTCTCATCAGGGATATACAATAAAAGGTATTTAATATGTATTCTCGAAAGCTTTCACAGCCAGGATCCAATGATTGTTGTAGATTTTTTGGGCTGTTTGGCCAAGTTCTGGAGGTTTTTCTTCCTAACATTTCACCAGTCTCTGTGGCTGGCATCTTCATAGGACAGGGGCTAGAACTCTGTGTTCTTTAATATATTTTTAATATCTTTATTTAATATTTTTATTACTCATGAGCAAATTGTGCAGTCCCAGGGCGCTCCCAGAAGAAGGGAATGGTAAAAAACCACTCCTATGTATTCTCTACCTAGAAAATCTTGGAAAGGATCATCATAAGTCAGAACAGACAGCACTCAATTGTTAGTGATATACATAATAAAGGATATTTAAGACATAGAAGATATGATCACTAATTGTGCTTCATATTTCTTGTGTCCTGTATAGGAAACATTGCAGTTTTTGTCAGGACGCTCACCGTGCTGGAAGGTGGCAGAGGCCTCTTGAGGACTGATGTCCTCCTTGCAGTTGATGGCAGTGAGAAGCCAGAGGAGCTCCTCTATGTGATCACGTCCCCACCTCAGTATGGGCAGATGGAATATGTCAGCTATCCGGGAATCGCCATTACAAGTTTCAGCCAAATGGATGTAGCTGGCCAGGCAGTCTGCTACGTACACAATAGTAAGGCATCCTCTCCCAGGGATATGGTCAGGTAAGCAAGATAGTCTCCTCTTATTTATTTATTTATTTATTTATTTATTTATTTATTTATTTATTTATTTATTTATTTATTTGTTTATTTATTTATACATGCGTGCGTGCGTGCGTGCGTGCGTGCGTGCATACATACATACATACATACATACATACATACATACATACATACATACATACATACATACATACATACCCCCCGGGGGGGGGGTATCAGACTAGCGAATGGGCATGCTGCATGACATGACAAGTGAGCAATTGTTGTGGAGAAGCAACATGGTGTTGCATGCTGGTCAATGGTGCTGCAGGCAGTTTGAGCAGAGTTAGACAAAGCACAGAGCTTTATTTGATGGTTTGCTGTCATGTTATGTGATGATAGGCAGCTACATTTTCTTCAGTTTCTTTCTCAACAAACCAGAAGAAAAAAATGTCAGGGTGTGTTCTTTGTTTCTTGGGTTTGTTGAGACAGACAACCTGGGGAAGGATACCTGCCCACCTTTACACAACATGATAAACAATCCCTGGAGTGAAGCTCTGGGTTTTGGTCAGCTGCTCTCACTGCCATCTGGTGCAGTCGAACCCTTCATACTGGCCAAGATTCTTGTTTCTTAAGTCATGCAAGTCAGTTGAATGTTTAAATAGCAGAAAGTGGGGGTGGTCTCCTCTTTTGAAAAGTAGGAAGGACTCCTATCACAATTGAACCCTTCATACCGGCCAAGATTCCTGTTTAAGTCATGCAAGTCAGTTGAATGTTTAAATAGCAGAAAGTGGGGGTGGTCTCCTCTTTTGAAAAGTAGGAAGGACTCCTATATCTAAAATAAGATTGATGTGAGTAGTTAAATTATTTATCATTATCTAGAGAAAGAAGTTAAGATTGTTAATATGGTTTAAGATGTTGACAATAATGCCTCTCTTTTCTCTTGAAAAATAAATAGAAATGCAAAGTGAAATAAACACAAATTCATTTATACTTTTTTTGGCAGAGCAAAATAAAGGCTTCTTGTTTAACCTCCAGTTTAGTTCAGCATTCTGTTTGCAGTATAACTCTGCTAAATGCTGAACAATTGGAATGCAATTTGGTACATATTTGATTACAATCTTTCATTTCAAACTGCCACACTAAATTAACCTTCAACCACTCAATTCTGTCCTCTTCAACACTGGGAGAAAAGTGCACAGTGCAATACAAGCTAATGGGCTAAATCCAACCTTAAGTCTATTTTGAGTAGACACACTAAAAGGAATGAAACTTGATGGGTGTCCAGATTTTGGCCAGGACAAAGAGGTCCACACAAATCACTCAGCCACACTACCCAGACTTTCCTGGACAAAAAGCCAACCTTAACAAGTAGGAATATCAAAACACCCCAAATGTGTTCAGGATCTAAAGGTAAGGCACCTTCTTTAATGCCACTGACCTCCTTCTCCTCAGAATAACCAAACTACAAGAACATTTTTATTATTTTACTAAAGGTGTTGCAAAAGAAAACAGATCTTCAAAACAAAATTCAAAACTTTGGAAAATCAAAAAGATGTAAAGCATGTTGTTGTTGTTGTTGTTTAGTCATTTAGTCATGTCCACCTCTTCGTGACCCCATGGACCAGAGCACGTCAGGCCCTCCCGTCTTCCATTGCCTCCCGGAGTTGGGTCAAATTCATGTTGGTAGCTTCAATGACACTGTCCAACCATCTCATCCTCTGCCGTCTCCTTCTCCTCTTGCCTTCACACTCTCCTAACATCAGGGTCTTTTCCAGGGAGTCTTCTCTTCTCATAAGATGGCCAAAGTATTGGAGCCTCAGCTTCAGGATCTGTCCTTCCAGTGAGCACTCAGGGGTGTTTCCCTTTAGAATGGATAGGTTTGTTGTCCTTGCAGTCCAGGGGACTCTCAAGAGCCTCTTCCAGCACCACAATTCAAAAGCATCAATTCTTCAGCGGTCAGCTTTCTTTATGGTCCAGCTCTCACTTCCATACATCACTACAGGAAAAACCATAGCTTTGACTATGCAAACCTTTGTTGGCCAGGTGATGTCTCTGCTTTTTAAGATGCTGTCTCGGTTTGTCATCGCTTTCCTCCCAAGAAGCAGGCGTCTTTTAATTTCATGGCTGCTGTCACCATCTGCCGTGATCATGGAGCCCAAGAAAGTAAAATGTGTCACTGCCTCCATATCTTCTGCTTCTATTTGCCAGGAGGTGATGGGACCAGCAGCCATGATATTAGTTTTTTTGATGTAGAATGAATGAATACTTTATTATGATCAAAGACCAGTAAAACCAAATCAATATAAAATATGTATATATAATTATAGTTTGGTAAATTCAGTCAGGGTAATAAAATTCCATTAAAACATGTTGAGCTTCAGACCATTTTTTGTGCTCTCCTCTTTCACCCTCCTTAACAGGTTATTTAATTCCTCCTCACTTTCTGCCATCCAAGTGGTATCATCTGCATATCTGAGGTTGTTGATATTTCTTCCGGCAATCTTAATTCTGCCTTGGGATTCATCCAGTCCGGCCTTTCGCATGATGTATTCTGCATATAAGTTAAATAAGCAGGGAGACAATATACAGCCATGTCATACTCCTTTCCCAATTTTGAACCAACCAGTTGTTCCATATCAAGTTCTAACTGTTGCTTCCTGTCCCACATACAGATTTCTCAGGAGATAGATAACCAGGAGATGGATAAATAAGGTGATCAGGCACTCCCATTTCTTTAAGAACATAGTTTGCTGTGGTCCACACAGTCAAAGGATTTTGCATAGTCAATGAAGCAAAAGTAGATATTTTTCTGGAACTCTCTGGCTTTCTCCATAATCCAGTGCATGTTAGCAATTTGGTCTCTAGTTCCTCTGCCCCTTCACAGTCCAGCTTGTACTTCTGGGAGTTCTCAGTCCACATACTGCTGAAGCCTGCCTTGTAGGATTTTGAGCATAACCTTGCTAGCGTGTGAAATGAGTGCAATTGTACTGTAGTTGGAGCATTCTTTGGCAGTGCCCTTATTTGTGACTGGAATGTAGTCTGATCTTTTCCAAACCTTTGGCCAATGCTGAGTTTTCCAACTTGCTGGAACATTGAGTGTAGCACCTTAACAGTGCCATCTTTTAAGATTTTAAATAGTTCAACTGGAATGTGCTATCACCTCCACAGGCCCACTTGATTTCACTCTCCAGGATGTCTGGCTCAAGGTCAGCAGCCACACTAACTGGGCTGTCCAGGAGAACCACATATTTCTGGTATAATTCCTCTGTGTACTCTTGCCACCTCTTCTTGATGTCTTCTGTTTCTCTAAGGTCCCTACCATTTTTGTCCTTTATCATTTCCATCTTTGCACAAAAGGTTCCTTTAGTACTGTATCTCCAATTTTCTTGAACATGTCTCTGGTTTTTCTCTTTCTATTATTTTCCTCTATATCTTTGCACTGTTCATTTAAGAAGACCCTCTTGTCTCTCCTTGCTATTCTTTGGAAATCTGCATTCAATTTTCTGTAACTTTCCCTATATCCCTTGCATTTTGTTTCTCTTCTCTGCTATTTATAAACTCTTGTTGGACAGCCACTTTGCGTTCTGGCATTTCCATTTCTTTGGGATGGTTTTTGTTGCTGCCTCCTGTACAATGTTACGAGCCTCTATCCAAAGTGGTTTTTCTTACTCTCTTCAGTTTAAGCTTGAATTTTGCTATGAGAAGCTGATGATCAGAGCCACAATCAGCTCCAGGCCTTGTTTTTGCTGACTATATAGAGCTTCTCCATCTTTGGCTGCAGAGAATATAATCAATCTGATTTCAGTATTGCCGATCTGGTGATGCCCATGTGTAGAGTTGCCTCTTGTGTTGTTGGGAAAGAGTGTTTGTGATGACCAGCTTGTTCTCTTGAGAAAACTCTATTAGCCTTTGTCCTGCTTCATTTTGAACTCCAAGGCCAAACTTACCTGTTGTTCCTTTTGTCTCTTGACTCCCTACTTCAGCATTCCAATCCCCTAGAATGAGAATAACATCTTTCTTTGGTGTCAGTTCTAGAAGGTGTTGCAAGTCTTCATAGAATTGGTCAATTTAGGTCTCCTCAGCATTGGTGGTTGGTACATAAACTTGGATCATTGTGATGTTGAAAGGTCTGCCTTGGATTCATATTGAAATCATTCTATCTTTTTGGAGATTATATCCCATTACAGCTTTTCCCACTCTTGTGTTGACTACGAGGGCTACTCCATTCCTTCTACGGGATTCTTGCCCACAATAGTAGATATGATAATCATCTGAATTGAATTCGCCCATTCCTGTCCATTTTAGTTCACTGGCGCCCAGGATGTCAATGTTTATTCTTGTCATCTCCTGTTTGACCACATCCAGCTTCCCAAGGTTCATAGATTCTACATTCCAGGTTCCTATGCAGTATTTTTCTTTCCAGCATTGGACATTGATTGTAGAATAGTCCTCACAGAAAACAAGCTATCCTGCATGAATACATACAATATAGTTAAATTGAAGTATAGTTCTAGGATTTATACAAAATACAGCAGAACAGGTAAACAGAACCTTCTCCTGAGAGAAATTAGGCTGAACAGCTACACTGTCTGAGCTGTTTTTATATCTGATATCTATCTTTCCTGATCTTCCAGTGCCATCTCACCACAATCATATCCCAAGTTACCTTGAATCTTCTAGAAAAGAGTAACATTTTTTCAAAGTAACTTTGCTCACCTCCCTCTTTTCCTTTCCCCGTGGTTCAGTTGAAACCAGTTTTTCTTAATTACAGTAGCAGGCAAAGAAGAGCTTTTTTGACCTTAGTTCCCACCAGATAATGCCCATCTGTGAGTTGTCTCCTAATTAATCGGCAGTTGTTGCCAGCTCCATTCCACTTCTGTCTGGCACAAGGCAACAGGCCTAAGTTTTACAGGGCAACTGGAAGAGCTTTTTTGACCTTAGTTCCCACCAGATAATGCCCATCTGTGAGTTGTCTCCTAATTAATCGGCAGTTGTTGCCAGCTCCGTTCTACTTCTGTCTGGCCTAAGTTTTACAGGGCAACTGGAACCCCCTTTTCACCAGTTCCTTCACAATAGATATACCTAACTTAAAGGTCCAAGTGATTTCAGTGGATCCTCTTTTGGTTGGATATCACTTGCAAACTCTAGCTTGAGTACAAGTGAGGTTCCTTAAATAATTTTGTAGTAATTTAGCTTTTTTTTACTTTTTCAAGACCAAGATTTCATTATTAATTGGGTTAATTGCATATCTGACATGTGGAAATTAAATTTTTAAATGAGAAGTTAAAAGATATACATCTCGGTTGGGAAAACAAGTTTAAGATGGCTCATCTGAAACACCACCATTATTTTCTACGTTGTTTCAACAGATATTTTCAGTTAATATAATGTAATGTGATTAATTAATATGTTTGGAATCCTTTAACTCATTGATTGGGTGGTTTAAAAGCAGGGTGGCTAATTAATAAAACAAATCTGCATTTATTGACAGTTCTGTATTAATTTGCTCTCCTCATGTGTGATTTTTCTCTTTTCAGTTAATTAGTAAATCTGGTATGAGCCAGATTCAGAGATCACACCATCTTTTTCATTTCAACTCAACAAAGACAGTTATATATGTGAGCTTGTAGGTATAGATAAAGATCTTTATTCAACTACACACGTGTGTGCAAATATACATGTTTGTAGTTAAACTAATGTGATGTTACATATAGACATATCCAGTGTGTTGAGTCCAGGCCTTTCTTGGTTTGACAGCATATTTTAATGAAAAAATGATATACATGTCTGTTTTAATCACTGCGAACGATGTCCTGGCTATTCGAATTTGGCAAAGTATTTGGTTATATATTGAGATATAAATACTGTGGCAGACTATTAAAAAATAAAACGCCAAGGGCTGGTGACATTTAATTAAATAGAGGTTTTAAATGATCAGATTTTTACCATCCATTAAGGCACTTTATTTTATCGTAAACCTCCCAGCATTGTTTGATGCTGCTGGCCTGGAAGAGGGATTTGGCAGTGCTTGTTTTGGACAGATGACTTCAAGTGATTAGCAATCTGACATCAGACGCTGGCAGCAGGATGCTAAAAGAACATGCTAATGTCCTCCATTTTGACATGGTGGATCAGTTTTGTAATGAGCTGGCACTATTTCCATTTCCATTTTTATATTTTAAATGCCACGACAGATGGTAAGTTCTGTAGCCAGCTCTATCACCATGGACTGCAGAAAGCATGAAAACCTTGGTAATGGTGAAATCAACCCATGTGACTTGCCCTCCTAACTAAGCTTGGGAATTATTCTCTCTCCCCCACCCCAGTTTCATCAAAGTGATGAGAATGTTGGCTGCTTCCCATTCCTGAGGGAAACATGGAATAGAACTAAGTAGAAAATAAACAACATGCTGGAGGATTGGAGCATGATCTTCCCTTGAAATAAACAACCCCATTGTCTGGGGGAAACCTAGCAAGGCACACCATTTGCATGGCGATTACTACCCTTCCTTTGAATCTTAAACCACACATAATCTGTCTTCATGTTGAGATCTGGTCTTTCCTCAGTAGGAGTCTAATACTATTTCAGTATTAATGTTTTTACTCTGCCATTCAAGGCTCAGTCAGCTGAACAGGGATGTTCCAGGCAATTCTTTAGGTATGCAAGAATCCATAGCATTTAGATCAGCTGGGTAGGTGTTCCAGAGAGAATCTGCCACAACAGAGTCTTCAAACAACATGGTCAAAGCATGGATGGGTGATGATTGTGATTCATTAGTTTCTTTCTTACATGACGTTGCCAAAACTCATAGATTTTATTCACAAATGTAATGGCTTTAAAAAATGTAGAGAAAGGCAAATCTGATATATTCACCTGTTTGGGCAGATTTCATTTTGAGCTTAGCTCATTAAAGTCTGTCTTGACTCCCCATGAAATCAGTCATGTCTATAGTACTGAAGTAGGGCTGACAATTCTTTTTCTGGTCTCATTTTCAACAAGTACATGGCAGACAGAAAGCCTATTGAATTTGACCAGTGAAGATATTTGGTAATTTCAATTGGTTCCTTTTTCCTACTAACACCTCTTTGTAAATTCAGTGAAAATAACATGTGATATGAAAATAACTAAATAAGGAACTTATGATTTCTCCATCCCTAACCTAATTGTCCACTCCTTTTTCCCAATGGGTGTTCCTTTTTTATTCATTCCATGTGAATGAATGGAGAAAAATCTCTCCCATTCATTCTATTTGCTTGTGTAGAACTTTGGGCTCCTTCAGAATACTGCAAAAATGGCCTCATCTCCTGCAACAATATTCTGCAAAGGTAGCCACAGATGTACTGCCGAGAGGAGGAAATATATCACCAAAAGTGATGGCAAAGGGGAATATATGTTTGTATCAAACATGCACACATAAACACACACGTGTGTATGTGTGTGTGTGTGTGTGTGTGTGTGAGTGAAAGAGTGTCTGTGTAGTTAAAAGTAATTACTAGCAATTAAGTCAAAATGTGATACATTTCATGGTAGCATGGAGGGCTCTGACCAGGTGATGATGAGCCCTCCTATAGACCTTACTGTCCACGTCCTACCACTCAGTGGGTATCTTCACAGCCACTGCCTTCTCTTCTTCAGATCATTTATCTTGAAACCAGAGTTTGACTTGGCAGATCCTCAACGAGAGGACACTTTCACTTGGGTGACAGTCCTCTGAGACAGTCTTTAAAACAGAAGCGTAACCTGTGTAAAGCAGGACACTGTATCACTTTGGTGCCATCTCCTTTCATTCCTTAACATTGCTTGTACATTCACTGGCTCTCTTTCATTTCAGTTGAAAATGTGTTATAACTAAACTGATGACAGGGCATCAGTTTTACCATTGGCAGGAGTGTTAGGTCAGTGCAGACAGCTGCTGCAATGTTCCCAGATGGGAATAATGTCCTTCAGTAAATATATTTCTTGTTCCTATGCAGTATCTGGCCTGCCTGCTCTCATTCCCATCTGTCTCATGGCATAGTGCCGACTTGAAAGTTGGTCAGCTCCTAAATACCAGTGGAAATTTGGGGGGGGGGGATATTAGCAGGAGATCAGCAGTTTTTCTGGCCATGAGGTCACAAATGCTCTCATTGGAGGTCATTAAACACCAGCTAAATAAACCCAATGGTATCAGTGTTAAGTCTAACCTTTAACTCAGGGCTAAGGTGACATAAATGATCTGAATATTTATGTTCTATACAGTATATCTGAACAAAATGTCTGTAGCTTAGCATAGAGCCCTGCTTTAAAAATCACTCAATATGAGAGGAATACATAGTTGGCAAAGACCTCTACCTGTCACCCTGAAGATGTGATTCTACTCAGAGTAAATTGTACCACGCTGGATCGATCAATGATCAGTTATACAGTGGTGCCTCGCATAACAAGTGCACCGTTTAACGACAAATTCGCATAGCGATCCGTTTTTTGGGATTGCTAATGTGATCGCGTACCGATGGTTCCAATGGGCAAAATTCGCTTTGCGACTATCGGTAAGCTTTCGCTTACCGATCTTCGCATTGTGATGTCAGGGGAACAGCTGATCGGCGGTTCCAAAATGGCCACTGGAAGACCCTAAATGGCCACGCACAGCATTTTCGCGCCCTGCCCTCGCTTACCGAGGGCGCGAAAATGCCTGCGCTATGGAGGAACATCACTGAACTGTGAGTTTGGGGCCCATTGGGTTTTTCTATTCCATTTAGTGATGTTTCCGAATAGCAATGGTTAATCTGGAACGGATTAACCTCGCTATGCGGGGCACCACTAATATACAAATTCCTTTTAAATGCGAAAGAGAGAGCCTGATTGTATGAAACCAATAGAGTTTCTGATTTGAAATTGTGTGTAGTAAAAGCAGATCACATGCTGAATTCAAATTGTTGATGTTCTTGCTATTGGTAAACAGGAACATGGGCAACATAACTGGAAAAAAAATTCCTATGACAGACTCTTGATTATTAGGACTGGATGCCTTAAACACTTCTCATCAGCCTTGGAACAGTCTCAGTGACTCCCAGATTTATTTCAGGGTGCTGGTCTTAACCTAATGATTCTTTTTATACAAACCTATCTGGGTGTTAATATATTTCTCCAAAACCTTTTTGTAAGTCTGTATATTGTGGAAAAAAGAAGAGCCCAGACTGGATGCAAACTCTAGTACTTGCTTCACAGGGAGGTTTGCTTGAAGTAGCTTCTGTTACCTTTCTTTTTTTAGTGCCAGGTGAAGACTTCTTAAAATTCATCCTAGTTTTTCAGGCTGTTTTGTTGGGCGAGGGATATTATGTATCTGAAAAGTGATATACAGTGAAATCAGTTAATCAGCTAACCAATCATTCAACCAACAAGCAAAATTGATCAATTAAAAAAGCATGAACAAAACACTGAAATATGGGTGTAATGACATTTACACATCCTCTTAAGCATTCCTACAATTTATAGTCCATTTACAGAGTAAGTTGTAAATTTCTTTAATCATGTGTCCAAATTCGGAGATGATTGGATCTGTCTTATACTCGCAAGAGCTATTTTATCTGAGGCCGGGGTCTTGGTCTGTATCTCAAAGTAAAGGTATCTGTTATATTTCATTTCAGTAGATGGTGAAACAAGAACACATGCTGAAGGCTGCCTTGCCTCTTTTTGCCAGATTCATCGTCAGCAATGGCCCAAGAACTAAACATGGAGAGCTTGAGATCATCTTGGAGTCGGTGGATCGAACCATACCCACAGTGGCCAAGAACAAAGGGTTAAGATTAGAGGAAGGTGGCATGGCATTCCTTTCTCCTGATGTTCTCCAGCTTTCAGATCCAGACACAGCTCCACAAAACCTTTCCTTTCTCCTGGCACAGCTTCCACAACATGGCCAGCTTTGCAACAGAGCGTCTGGATTATGGCAGCAAAGCTTCAGCCAGCAAGATGTGAATGATCTGAATGTGGTATACAGGCATGAAGGAGGGACTTCTCGGATTGACAAATTTACTTTTGTGGCAACAGATGGAGTGAACCAAGGCTTCATTGTAAATAACAAGGTGCAAGTAGAGCCCCTGGCATTTGTCATTCAGGTAAGTTCCACACATGGACACAGGGTATTAAACACTCAGCTTTCATTCTGTAAGCAATCAATACATATTTACTGGACTACTACTGAAAAGCCTTCCATGGCTGATTCAAGTGTGAATAGAGAACAAAGTGTCCCCAAGACCAGGGTTTAATCCCATGTGTGTTTGGTATGTTGTTCCCAATTGCAAAGTGGAGAATTGAACTCTTGGCCTCTGGCTCTGCAACCAGGTACCCAACTCACTGAACTATTTAAACCAGTTAGCCCCTGTCAGTAATCATGATTTCATAAAATACTTGTGTACAAATCAAAAAGTTTACTTGTGGAGTGAAATTACTATTATAAACATGTGGAATCCTTTGCTAGTCCCAGTGTCAACAAGTTAGATATGGACATTTGTTGGGCACAGACTATGCATGTAGACATGTTTCTAAGTATTCTAGAAACTTGTCAGTGAAGGTCTCCAGAATATCTGGAAAGCTTACTTGTGTGGCTTTTGTAGACTTCCACACTTTTAATGTGTGGACTTTGGGACCACAAACAAGGAGATGAACCATTTGAGGAGTGCAGCGAGTGATGAAACATTGCACTCTCTTTTCGATGTTTTATGCCTGTTTACATATTTTGCATGTGAAAGAAATCTGTAATGTCACCACTTCAGCAGAAAGATTTCAATGTCTTTCCACTCTCTATTCTCAGGGCTCTTCCAGAGGGGGCAAAATTTACACACACACCCCTTTTGCCCTAATCAGTCCTAGTTGGTCCTAGAATAGTATGGGGCTTTCTGGACTTCTTGTCCACATTGCTAGAAACAAAGAGGACTGGAGCTGGTGGCTGGCAATTTGGGAGTGGGGAGGTCTGGCTGCATGCAAGCAAGCACATTCATGATTTGAGGCTCAGGAGACAAAAGGATTTGGCTTCTGTCTCCCTGTTTGGGTTTGGTTGTGGAGTAGACTGAAGGCAACCAGTACAAAATGTAAACAGAAAGTAATAGTAACGATACTTAGCAATACATTTCCCTGCTGTAGTTTGTTTTGTAGCTTTTTATACTTTTTAAAGTTAAGTTTTTAAAAAATATATTTATGAAGTCATTAAAAGTTTCCACAAGGAGCCTCTAAAGCAGAAATGAACTTTCATTGAAAATACCATAGCATTAAACTCCACCCACAAATCTCCGGAACAAAATAAATTATCCTTCAAAGACATGACTAAAAACAAAAATATTGGGGAAAGTCCCTGAAAATACTGCACCAAGCCTTGTATTCAATGGATGAAAGGAGCATTACCAAAATCAACAGTACAGAAACAAATACTTTTACTAGTACCTTTGCCCATTTGAAAAGCCCTCATTTGCAGGATTTTCTGAGGGGATTATTTGGGTTACAAGTGCACTAAGTTTTATCTAAGAGGTATATATTTCATTTAAGCATTCTGAAATTAAAGCCCTGTATTTTGAGTGAGAGATGCAAAGGTTTGGATTCGCAAAATGAAACTTCTTCCATCAAAATGTGCCCTTGCATCAGTAGCAGCAATGTTAATTGTTCTTTCAGATGGATAGCCCGGTAAAAACTGGGCCAAGAATCATACACCTTCGTAGTGCTTCCAACGTGGAACTTCTAGAAAATGGGAAATATGGCATTTATATTACCATCCGGTCACTGAAAGCATCAGATTGTGATACAGATGATGACCAAATCATTTTTAAGATTTTACGGGAACCTCGATATGGCTACCTGCAAAATGCAACATCAGGTATTATGTTATATTATGTTTCTGAATTTGATTCGATAAACAGAACTAACTCTTTGTTATAGGACAAACTATAATTTAGTCATAGATAAAATATTATTTTATTTTATTTTTATTTTCCCCTACATGGATTGCTGCCTTGTCGTGGCGAAGGGGCTTGAGTAATTCAGAGAAGCTATGGGCTATGCCGTGCAGGGACACCCAAGATGGACAGGTCATAGTGGAGAGTTCTGACTAAATGCGATCCACCTGGGGCAGGAACTGGCAAGCCACTCCAGTATCTTTGCCATGAAAACTCCATGGTCAGAAACAAAAGGCTAAAAGATATGACACTGGAAGATGGTCCCCTCAGGTCGGAAGGCATCCAACTTGCTACTGTATTCTGTATTCTGCATATAAGTTAAATAAGCCGGGGGACAATATACAGCCTTTTCATACTCCTTTCCCAATTTTGAACCAAGCAGTTGTTCCATGTCCAGTTCTAACTGTTGCTTCCTGTCCCACATATAGGTTTCTCAAGAGATAGATAAGGTGGTGAGGCACTCCCATTTCTTTAAGGACTTGCCATAGTTTGCTGTGGTCCACACAGCCAAAGGCTTTTGCGTAGTCAATGGAGCAGATGTTTTCCTCGAACTTTCTGGCTTTCTCCATAATCCAGTGCATGTTAACATTTTGGTCTCTAGTTCCTCTGCCCCTTCGGAATCCAGCTTGTACCTCTGGGAGATCTCGGTCCACATACTGCTAAAGCCTACCTTGTAGGATTTTGAGCATAACCTTGCTAGCGTGTGAAATGAGTGCAATTGTATGGTAGTTGAGTAGACTAGTAGTTGAGTATTAGAGTAGATCCAGTGAATGACTATAGCTTGTTAAGTCAGCACGTATGCAAGTTTCATTGATTCAGTCATCTACTCTAATTGAGACTAACAAGTGGATTTGGAGTTAGTCCTAAATATTTTAATAGCTGGATTAATTAATTTTATTTTATATATTTGTTTAATCCTTTTCTATTCTCTTTGCCTGAAGAAGGCCTCATGTGTTATTTACAAAGAACAAGATCTACTTTCAGAAAACTCACACAAATGCAAACATATTTGACCCGCTTTTTATCAGTGTGGGATTCAAAACTAAGATGATATGCTACTTGCTGGTGGAGCAAGAAGGAAAAAGTGCTCTGGATATTTGTGGAATTTTATGTGTGGATGTGTATTTGTTTGTTTGTTTGTTTGTTTGTTTATTAATTACATTTACGTATACCCCGTCCATCTAGACACATGTCTACTCTGGGCGGCTAATAATAAAAATAGAAGAAGAACAATATAATAAAATAAAAAGCAGCAATAATAATAATATAGTTCAAGATGGGGAAAAATAAAAAATAATCAGGTGATGACAGGAGGGGAAGCCTGCCTAAAGAGCCAGGTCTTAAGTTGGCTCTTAAAAACACCCAGCGAGGGAGCCAGACAGATCTCTGGGGGGAGACTGTTTCAAAGGCAAGGGGCCACTGCTGAGAAGGCCTGGTTTCTTGTTCTTTCTCTCCGGGCCTCCCTCACCATTAGGCCCCTCAATGGCCCTTCCTGGCTATAATGAGTGATTCGGGTAGATCTAGGTGGGAGGAGGTGTTCTGCTAAATATTGAGGTCCCAAACTGTTTAGGGCTTTATATGTCATCTCTTTGAAATCAATGCGGAAACGGAAAGGGCAGCCAATGCAAGGCAGCTAGAGTGGGGAAAATATGCTGATATTTTCTCATCCCACTAAGAAGTCCGGCCACCACATTCTGCACCATTTGAAGTGTCCGCATCAATCTCAGATGTAGCCCCATGTAGAGTGCATTGCAGCAGTCTAATCTCGGGATTATAAGCACATGGACCAAAGTGGTGAGCGCCCCAACATCAAGATAGGGATGCAGCTGGGCAATCCGCCACAGATTGAAATAGGCAGAGCAGACCACTGACGCCACCTGGGTTTCCATGGTGAGCGATGGATCCAGATGGACCCCCAAACTGCGAACCTCACTCTTTGTGGTGAGAGTCACTCCACCAAAAGAGAGGGAGTTTCCCAAACCACCAGTGGAGGGGATACCCACCTTCCGTCTTGTCCAGGTTCAGCCTCAGTCCATTCTCCTGCATCCATTGCAGTACAGCCTCCAGGCAGCACTGCAGGGACAGAACGGCATCCATTGTGGTTGGAGAAAAGGAGATGTAGAGCTGGGTGTCATGAGCATACTGATGGCATGAAGGCCCCACACCCCCTGATGACCCCACCCAGTAGTCTCATATTAAACAGCATTGGGGAGATAATTGAGCCCTGTGGAACCCCACGATTGAGGCTCCACGGGGCCGAAACACTCTCCCCAGGCTGTACTCTCTGAGGACGGTCCTCCAAGAAGGATTGGAGCCAGGCAAGCACCAGACCACTGATTCCTAGCTTGGAGAGCCTCCCCAGGAGGATACCATGGTGGTAGACGGCATCGAAGGCAGCTGAGATATCGAGGAGGACCAACAAAGACATTTTGCCCCTGTCAGCCTCCCTCAGCAGGTCATCAAACAGGGCGACCAATGGCATTTCCGTACCGTGGCACATCTTGAAGCCCCACTGGAATTGATCCAGGGCATTGGTTTCATCCTCTTTACCACTTTACTAAGGAAAGAAACATTGGCAATGGGCCTCATGTCCACCGCCAAACTTGGTTTCTTCCTTATGGGCCTCATTGAGGGTATATCTGAACAGAGACACTGATAGGTTTGGAGGGTCCTCAAGCAAGTGGCTTTCTGTGCATGTATGCATTCCCTGGACAGCTTCCCCAGCTGCCATACCCACAAATCTGATGGGATGGCAGCAGCATGAATGGTGGCAATGTCAGTAGCAGAGAGAGCACTGCTCCCTGCCTCTCCCCCTCTGTTGTTCCTTGCCAGGACTCACCGAAAAAGAGAGTGTTTTGGTGGTGTCCAGCAGACATACCATTTTAAATTGAACAATTTCTTCATGTATTTTGAGTTGCAGCAGGCTGAACCAATTAGAAGCTGCCTTGGGAGGGGCCCATGGCCAATAAATGCTGCAGAATAGTAAGGGTAAGGGTGTGGTCTTCTTATTAAGCTGGTGCTCTCTTTAGCCAATGCCTCTTCCAAAAAGAGGATTTGATTGGTTCAGCTCACAGCTACTTAGCAAACTTGAAATGGTAGTTTAATTTTTTTTTTAATGGCATCAAATCACTTTCCTGTGCGGGCAGCCTGCAAAACTAATGTTCCATTGTAAGACAAACACCACTGGCTGACATAGGATTGTTTGTGGGAATGCTTCTGGATTGTAGGATTCCAGACATATGGGCTGTGGTCCACCTATAGCATCACCACTGTGTGGGACAGAATAGGAATAGATCACTCAGACCCAATCCCTTTGAAAGGAAAATAGCTTAAGATTTGGCAGACATTTTAGAGACCATCCTTTCCCCCTATTTACTAGTGCCTAGATAGTTCATGGGTGACAGCCACATCCAGTTACCATAGCTTCAACTAGTTCAACGTCAGAATTTTTATTCTCCCCTGCCTTAGGAACAGTGCGGCGGTATCATATTTCTTCAGTGTGTTCTCCATTAACTCACTAGTAGTGCCACAAGTAAAAACTATGCGCGAATCTACTCCTTGTTTTGAAGGCATTGTATCTCCCGTATTTTCTCAGGCAATTTTATTCAGGAAGGATTCCGCCAGAAGGATTTAACTACTAAGACTATCCTGTATGTCATTGACCCTTACAAGAAGAGGAATTCAGACAACTTAGAGATTCAAGTTACTGATCCTGAAGGAAACTCAGCTGACCCTCAAACGTAACTTAAAACTTTCTCTAAACATTCCTATGCATTGACTGCAAACATCTGTTTATTTCTTTCCTTAATTGAGATCTATTGCAGGTGGTTTTTGAGCAGAAATTATACTGCAGAGATAGGACATAATTTAATGGGGGGGGGTTAGGAGCAGTAGCCTTATTGAAGGCAAGAAACTTAAGCAAGTTTGTGAGTTCATATGCAAGAGAAACAGCATTTAAGGCAAAGAGAGAGAAAATAAAACTCTACCAGATATTTAGCTTAGTTTGTGAGTTGAAACAGTGAGCAGCTCCACAGCAATGTGGTATATACCATTCGGAGCCTCTCCTTTTCAACTGCAGTCATACCTACAGTGCAGATGTAATCCAAGGGGAAGACCTCTCTGAATTGGGCGGCAGGAACTGAAATACTTTATTATTATTAATGTTACTTCAAGAAAAGCTACCAGTGTTTAATGATGTGCTCTTGCTCTCTCTCCCTTTTCAAAACTAGTAAAAGCTGCTATTGTTATTTCAAAGTGAGGAAATAAAATTATCGACACAACACAATCTTGCATGTTCAGCCCTCCAATTTGCATTCATTGTGGGATAGCAGTCCTCAAATTTTTGCCTTAACAGTGAGCAGAATGGCCTTGAGCAATGGTGCCTGGGAGATTCTGGGAGATGCAGAAAAACACATTTGGTAGGCACCAAGTTAGGGAAGACTTCCTTGAAGTATACACAGTCCATCTTTTCCTATTCATATAAACTTGGGAGTAAGTTTCACTTAGCTTGAAGGGGGTTATGACTTGAGGTTGAACATGTATGTATGGAATTGCACTGTTCTCTTTTACTATTAAGATTTTGCTCCACCGCAGTGCTGTAGACAGGCTGTATAGTCTTCATTGATCAGCAGGAGGGCTAGCAAACAATTTCTCTACAGTATAAGATGATTCATATCACATTGATAAGGACAATAATTAATATAAGGGGCAAGTTTTACTGTGAATTAAAAATCAAGGGAAATTCAGTGAGCAGTGAATGAAAAGTTGCATTTAGCTGCATCTTTCAGCAGCTAGGGGTCACTCTAGATCTGGATTGGTAATATGATCCAAGTGCTGTATATAGATTTATTGTCATTGTGGTTTTATAACATCCAGTAGCAAGATCATAGTAGCTGATATTTTAAAGATGCCTTCAGACTATAACCGTTTCTCCCTCTTATCATATTTCAGCAACAACTATCTGCAAATGTTCTGTTTACTGCAGTGATGTAAAATGGTAACATCACAAACCAAAGTAGAGCATATTTGACTAGATGTAGGAGCAGTATGCAGTGTATTTTGTGCTGCATCGTCAAGAAGGGGGCAGATCATGGTCTGCATGGGGAGGGTCTTGCCCCAAAATTTCATTGTGAGGCAAACTCACACAGGCTTACCTGCATTTTCAACAACTCCTCATGATACTTCTCCTGCCTCCTCATCAGGGAAAAACTGGTTTCTTTCAATTTCATAAATGTACACTGTCATAAAAGGAAACTGTGCAACATCCATATCCTGCAAGAAGGTAGATTTTGTACATCCATAGAGACTTAGGGATGTGGTGGCACTGCTGGTTAAACCACAGAGCCTCTGGGCTGCAAGGTCGTAAGACCAGCAGTTCGAATTCATGCGATGGAGTGAGCTCCCATCACTTGTCCCAGCCTAGCAGTTTGGAAGTATGTAAATGTGAGTAGATAAATAGGTACCACTATGGTGGGAAGTTAACAGCATTCTGTGTCTAGTTGCACTGGCCACGTGACCATGGAAACTGTCTACGGACAAACGCTGGCTCTACGGCTTGGAGACAGGGATGAGCACCGTGCCCTAGAGTTGGACACTACTGGACAATTTGTCAAGAGGAGCCTTTACCTTTTTACAGACTTAAGTGTTTTTTAGTAGAGCTATCTGTATAATTTCTTGATTCAGTGGAAGTTATTCAATAAATATTGTTGTTAAAATTATTCCAATTGCTCGGTGGGAACCAATGAGGAATTGGACTCACATTCTGAATTTTAAAAAACCAATGCACCTCTTTTACTTTATATGATTGTAAAAACAAATATGCATCTTACTAATGAAACATAAAATGGAGTACAAATTTTGTTTAGTGTGTTTGAGACTGGATTTTATTTTATTATTACATTTTTTACATTCTTATTACATTATTACCTTAGATAGATAGATAGATAGATAGATAGATAGATAGATAGATAGATAGATAGATAGATAGATAGATAGATAGATAGATAGATAGATAGATAGATAGATAGATAGATAGATAGATAGATCCTGTTACCTCATACCTCAATTTCAAATGCATATATATATTACAACTTGGTTTTGAGCAAAGATAAACAGTATGGAAAGATGTACCTTGCTTCAGTTCCATGGTTAGACACTAGACGTCTCTTTATTCAGCCATAAATAAATGTTGCCCAAATTAATTTTGAGGCTAGCGAGTTTAAACCAAACCTAATCTTATAAGCATTCTAAACGTGGCATGCAGGTGTAATTTATATTTTAGTTTCATGCAACAAAGAATGCAGCCAAAGAGCTTTCATAATCAGTAGAATGCCTGAGTTCTAGGCCACCAACCTGTGGGACACATGCCGCCAGTGGCATAGGCACTAGCCATGTCTTGCTCTCCTGTCTAAATCTAGGATGGCTTCTCATGCTAGTTATGGGGTAGATGCAGGCCTCCATTACAATCGTATTCCAGCTAACCTACACTGGCTAATTCAGATAAAGGCCATAGCAGTTCAAGACCCCCAGTTTGTCCTTTTAGTTATTTTTAATTGGGATACTTAAAGTTTATTTTTTTAACCAGTGCTGACGTCCTCCTCAGGAGGCAGTTATTGAGAAGTAGGAAAGAAATAGTGAGTGCCATATACCCTATGTTATATCCCTTACACTGAGGGCAGGGGGCAGTAATTTGCAGAGATTGTGGGTCCTACACATGCCCATTCCTCGACCCTTGAGAGCTGCACATCTTCTTAAGACTTTTTTTTTAAAAAAAGAATATCTTTTTCCCCTTCTAAAATAGTCCTTTTGTGTCCTTTAGTGGCCAAATAGTTTTTAAATTACAAACTTTTTAGGATGCCCATGGAGCTATATTACACCCTTAGGGTGCAGGCATTCTGCAGGCTGCATGTAACATCCTCCCACCTTAGACTAAATAGCTGGGGGAACATCCAACATTTTGGGGTGAACCTTCTCACTTGATTCACCCTTCATCCCTGCTGGTCTCCTGAGGTCTAGTGTAGGGCCCTGCCTCCTTTCTAGTACTGAAATACGATTCAAATGCCACTTATGTGCTTTTCTACTGAGAATCTAATGGTGTTGATAACAACTGTCCCAGGCAGCAGAACACATTGATTCACTTCTGTTTATCATATTTGTATCTTATCCCTACTGCAAGAAACTCTAGTAAACATAAACAAGGAACTACTTTACTGTGAGGTACTTTACTGTGAGAAGATACCTGTATGTGTGTTGTGCCTGCTTTTCTCCCAGCCCTTGACCACTACTCCATCAGTGACATGAGACCTTGCCTACGACATCATAAGGGTCCTGACCTGTAAATGATGTTGACATTTGGTCTAGTCGTGTCTGACTCTAGGGCATGGTGCTCATCCCCGTTTCCAAGCCATACAGCCAGCATTTGTCCAAATACAGTTTCCGTGGTCACATGGCCAGCGTGACTAGACATGGAACGCTGTTACCTTCCCACCAAGGTGGTACCTATTTATCTGCTCACCTTTTCGCATGCTTTCGAACTGCTCAGTGCTAACTCATCAGTTTAAGTGCTAACTCTTCAGTTTTATTTTTTTTTAGCTTAATCTCTCATTATATACAAACTTGCCAGTATACCAGACTGAAATGTTTTGGTTTCCAAATACAGTATATATGTATAAGCAAGGGCATGGGCTGCCTTATCACTACTATGGTAAGGTAAATGGATTCTGTTTATACTCAGAGTTACTGCTCTTAGTGTGAATACACATTGCAATCCCAGGAATGAGCTTAAGCATGAAACTGCATTCAAGATTTAAGTGGGGTAGGTATTTGTTGAAATTAGTCTAAGCTTATGTCTTTTCAAACCAATTTCCTTCTTGACCCTAAGAAAGCAGTGTTTGCACTAACAACCAAAACAAAGTTTGCCTGTCTGAAATCCTCAGTCACCTGGGACTGCTTGTGGGATTCCAATGCAGATCTCATTTCTCCTGTGTTTTCATTCCCCCACCTCTCTTTCTCCCTCTTCTCCCTTGCTCCTCTCTCTTGCCTCAAAACAGGCTGGAAGTGGAATGGTCTACAATTGAAATGCAACAAGATGTTTATGAAGTTTGTGAAAATGTGGGTGTTCTGCCTGTGAAAATTAAACGATTGGGCCATGTCACAGATTCTGCTTTTGTTGCAGTAAAGGTAATATTATCATAAACGTAAAGGAATACCCTTTGACTGAAGAGAAAACAGAGTTTAAAGGCCTGTTTACCGTAGCTCAGGTTTGAGACCTGGCCAGTTAGAAAACAGCATTCTGTGCAGGAAAGTCATGCGGAAGAGGTCAGTGTCCTGGAATGTTAAGACAGAAAGCATTCCATAGTGAGTAAAGCAAATGATATCTCTCATACTCTATCCTCAGTTGAAAGGACTGCCCAGTCCGAGTGCCATCTAAGATAAAAAGAAACTGAAGAGCAGAGAGCAGAAGATCTGGAACAGATAACTATAAACTGAACGATAGCTCTGTGGTTTAGGTTTCTGGTTGCAGAGCCAGAGGTTAGGCATTCAGTTCCCCACTGTGCCTCCTTGGCAGGGGCTGGACTGGATGATCCGTAAGGTCCCTTGCAGCTTTGCTGCAGATCTCATTTCTCCTGTGTTTTCATTCCCCCACCTCTCTTTCTCCCTCACTCCTCTCTCTTGCCTCAAAACAGGCTGGAAGTGGAATGGTCTACAATTGAAATGCAACAAGATGTTTATGAAGTTTGTGAAAATGTGGGTGTTCTGCCTGTGAAAATTAAACGATTGGGCCATGTCACAGCCGTGTTCTGAAGGCTGTTCTTCCTAATGTTGTGCCAGTCTCTGTGGCCGCCATCTTCGGAGGACAGCAACCTGTGCTCTGGTGTAGTTGGCTTGGGAGTGCAGTATTTATGGCTGTGAGATAGGCTTTTGTCTTTTTCTGTAGATGGGTGATTAGTGTGTATTGTTGTGGGTGTATTGTTGTGCTAAGGAGAAGAGATTAGCTGTTCCTGTGGTCTTTTGTGTGTAGTGATCCCCTGTCCTTTTGGGTGGGTAGAGTTCGTTGACCTTTTGCACATAGAATGTTTGATAGCTGGGAGCCAAGTTTTGTTGAGCTTCACACTTTCCTCTTTTTTGTTGAAACTGTGCTGGTGCTTGTGGATTTCAATGTGTTCCCTGTGCAGTCTGATGTAATGATTGCTGGTGTTGTCCAGTATACATTATATCCTGGCCGTGAAAGCCTTCGCGAATATAAGTACTATAATGACTCTTTCCTAAAATTTAACTTTGATTTTGAGCGTTTTTAAATTGTTGTACTTTCTTTATTTCTACTCTTCTTTTTGTGTTGTTTGCAGTTTGTGTCAGTCTATGTACATAAGCCCACAATTTCAGTTTCCTATAATACCTTTGATCTGAGGACACAGCCTGGTTAGCTATTGTGTGGACAGAAGAATAGCAGTATGCAATAGTGGTCCCTATAATTAGTACGTAGTCTGGATTAGAGAAGAGTGATATAAATACTAGGAGCCTAACAAAGTAGTACTTCCTACATTTTCATGCTGAAACCACCAACAATTAATAGTGTAACCTTGGAAACATATCTTCTGGATCTGGATTTGGGTATAGTTGTTCATATTACACTGCAGTTGTTTCCTAGGATGCCCATTGCCATGTGTCAGCAAGGCTATGTCCTCTCAGACTTAGCACCCTCGTATGCAGTTATGCTGAACTGTGTTTTCTATTGTGTTTTCTGATTTTTCTGCCTCAGGTCAATGAAGTGACAGCTTTATCAGGAAGGGATTTTACAGTAGCTCCTTCCCAGCTTGTTCAGTTTGATCCAGGTAAGCTTTTAATGAGAGTGGATGACCAGAGAAATACGAACTAAAACCAGTCCACACAAAATGGACTGGTTTTATATTGGGTGGTCTGTGCATCTGACCTAGGTTGTAGGATTTCATCTGTGGGGTTTTACCACCTCTCAACAGGGATTAAAGGACCCACATTGGGGTACTATTAAACCAGCCTTTGCTTTGAAGGCCTAAGTGCACAAAGACTGGCCTATACACCACTAAGACATAGATAAACTTTGCTCACAGTTACCCACTCTTCCATAGTATTTTATTTGAGTTACTATAATGCTTTGTCTTGTACTCTTCAGAAGCATCACTTGGGACCTGGGGATTCAGACCGTATTTCAGTAGTTTAAGAACAGCTGCACTTTTTTCTGGTTGAGTTCATACTACTGGACTTGACTCTTTAAAACCATATACAGCGTGAGACAAGCATATTTGAAGCCATTTTCTCCCATGTGAACTTGCCCTAAACATTAGATCTCCTTTGGAGGTCTTTTGTTGAGCCCCACTGACATTAGAGTTATGGTAGATAGTCCCTCGGATGTGAGATGAACCCTCTCAGTGCAGAGACTGTCCTGGCAATTAATTTTCTATCGTATCAGTGTCATTTAAATAGTCCCTTCTGTTTATGAAGGCACTGAAAAGTTAACAGTTGATCTCTATTTATGTGGTGTACTTTTCCATGATAGTGGTTCTACCATCTACCTTTCGTATTGTTCAATATTTTAACATTTATGATTGGCTATTTTACAGGATTGGTTTCAGTTGTTAGTTGTTGGTCTGATATCTCTGATGTTGAAAAGCATGATTCAAATATATCTATAAACATATACATAGATAAATTTTAAACTTGTTTAACATGGAAGGGGAGAACACATTTCATGTGGCTGCTCACAAAGGTGATTACATAAATGCAGAAAAACCCTTCTGTCTTTCGGGAGCTCCATATGGCTGCTGTAACATAGTTAATTGTTGCACCACATGAATCTTCTGTTCTATGACATGGAAAGTCTGTGTCAGCTTAGCACCTTTCTGGAGTGCTGGCACTGGCATGAGGCCTCCCCATGTGGTACGGACCAATCTATGCATAGGTTCAGCATTTAATATATACTAAGACAGCCTTGTGGGCCCAGCTATGCAGAAAAGATTTTGAGCCACAAATAAGCTATATGAAAAAGATCTCGGAGAGAAGGGAATGCAGCACGTTGTTCAGGTCATAATGGTAGCTTCTGAACCCCGATTATCAAATTGTGAAATGCTGCCCGTTACCCAAGTGCTTTTTCCTTCTTTCAAAACTGCTGTGAGTCGTGTGGTACTTAGAGACTGAATAATTTTATGTAGCATAAGTTTTGTAGCTTGCAGCTCATGTTATCAGATGTAAGAGTCATCACATTACATAGGCCACGTCCCCCAAATGTACACCAAATGAAACTAGTGAATCCTTAAGGCACCACAAAAAACAAACAAACAAAAAACAGTCATGTGGTTCTTGTACACAATCTAAAGGCAAGGGAAGGTGATACCTTTATTAGACCATTAAAAAGATCAGAAACATAAGCTAACTTTCAACGCTGTATGAGCGCTATGGAGCTGTAGGGAGTGCAAGAGAAGCACAGAAGTTCCAAAAATCATGGCTGGATAGGTGCACCAAGCTCCTTCGTTAAAAACAAGTTTCAAAAATGGAGGTTGCAGGTTCAAGTCAAAGGTGTAGGTTTCCAATTTCACTTCTGGTGGTAGGGATTAGAATGTCTCACCCAATCTTGTTAGACAAAAATTACAGGACTGAACGTTCTACAAGATTCTTTGTTGTTTTTCCTGCGACAGTCACTTTCTTTCTAAATTTCTGAAATTCTTCTGCTCTCCAAAATTTGCTTTGGACTTTTGCATTAGGATCCAGCTCAGGCTGTGCATTTTTTAAAGATGGTCACTGTCACCACACTCACTGGGGGGCTGCATTTCTGAAACCACATCCAATTGGCAGCTTGCAGTTATAGCAAAAAGTGGCATCTCCCTCTCCCCTGTTTAAAAAGTGTGATCCTATATGAAACTCAGTGGCTCTTAGGACTATTACTCTTGAAATTGTTAGTCTTAAAGGTGACACATGGCTCTTTATTACATCTGGAGCAATTAAGATGCATTTGTTCATTTTTGAGTGTTTTTTTCAAGGTTCCTTTAATGTTTGCTCAAAGAGAAACTTCAACATTTCATTGATATTAGTGGCAAATTCACTTCTCCCATAGTTCCTTGAGAGTTGTTTTCAGGAGGTGGGAGGTATCTATTAGTAATTACTAAAGACAGCCTTGTGGGCCCAGCTATGCAGAAAAGATTTTGAGCCACAAATAAGCTATATGAAAAAGATCTCGGAGAGAAGGGAATGCAGCACGTTGTTCAGGTCATAATGGTAGCTTCTGAACCCCGATTATCAAATTGTGAAATGCTGCCCGCTACCCAAGTGCTTTTTCCTTCTTTCAAAACTGCTGTGAGTCGTGTGGTACTTAGAGACTGAATAATTTTATGTAGCATAAGTTTTGTAGCTTGCAGCTCATGTTATCAGATGTAAGAGTCATCACATTACATAGGCCACGTCCCCCAAATGTACACCAAATGAAACTAGTGAATCCTTAAGGCACCACAAAAAACAAACAAACAAAAAACAGTCATGTGGTTCTTGTACACAATCTAAAGGCAAGGGAAGGTGATACCTTTATTAGACCATTAAAAAGATCAGAAACATAAGCTAACTTTCAACGCTGTATGAGCGCTATGGAGCTGTAGGGAGTGCAAGAGAAGCACAGAAGTTCCAAAAATCATGGCTGGATAGGTGCACCAAGCTCCTTCGTTAAAAACAAGTTTCAAAAATGGAGGTTGCAGGTTCAAGTCAAAGGTGTAGGTTTCCAATTTCACTTCTGGTGGTAGGGATTAGAATGTCTCACCCAATCTTGTTAGACAAAAATTACAGGACTGAACGTTCCACAAGATTCTTTGTTGTTTTTCCTGCGACAGTCACTTTCTTTCTAAATTTCTGAAATTCTTCTGCTCTCCAAAATTTGCTTTGGACTTTTGCATTAGGATCCAGCTCAGGCTGTGCATTTTTTAAAGATGGTCACTGTCACCACACTCACTGGGGGGCTGCATTTCTGAAACCACATCCAATTGGCAGCTTGCAGTTATAGCAAAAAGTGGCATCTCCCTCTCCCCTGTTTAAAAAGTGTGATCCTATATGAAACTCAGTGGCTCTTAGGACTATTACTCTTGAAATTGTTAGTCTTAAAGGTGACACATGGCTCTTTATTACATCTGGAGCAATTAAGATGCATTTGTTCATTTTTGAGTGTTTTTTTCAAGGTTCCTTTAATGTTTGCTCAAAGAGAAACTTCAACATTTCATTGATATTAGTGGCAAATTCACTTCTCCCATAGTTCCTTGAGAGTTGTTTTCAGGAGGTGGGAGGTATCTATTAGTAATTACTATTACTCATAAGCAGTGAGATGCTCTCAGGTACAGTATTTGCCATGTATGGCCATGGGAAAACACAATAAATTGTCATGGATGACTGAAATTGCAGTTTTTCAAAACAGCAGTGGCTTTCCTGCAATTACATGTCAAAAAGCTCCCCAGATTTATTTTAGATGTACATGAAGATCCAACACATTTTTCCTATCAACTGTATGCTATTATTTTGTATCCCCACCCACCAAAGCAGATATTTGTTATAGGGTGAATGGAATCATTATTGCTCAGGAACAAATTTGGTCTCTAGTTAGTGTTATTTGGGAAAACCACAGGAGTCCAATCAGTGGGCAGGATCACAATAGTATATACAAGCCAGCCTGTTGTAAATGTAGACATGTTAATTAATATGTTTCTCCAACACCTAGGTTGATTGAAAAAGCAATTAAAGTGTAATTAAAGTGTTTACTTCTGGTAGGAATGTCAACCAAGATGTGGAATATAGCAATTACCTATGATGGATTAGAGGAAGATGAAGAGGTCTTTGAAGTAGTTCTCATCTCCCCTGTGAATGCTGTTCTTGGCAGCAGGACAAAAGCTGTAGTGAAAATTTTGGACTCGAAAGGAGGTATTCTCTTTTGATCTTCCTAATAAAATCTGGAGCAGTCTGGGCTGAGAAATGACTTATTTTTCAATACACAAATGTTGTTGCTAACACTTACCCTTGGACCAAAATGCTTTCTTTCCTTTTTTTAAAAAAGTAAACAGCTTTGACAGTTTGAGTCCTTTCTCCCTCTGGCTGTCTGTATGCCTTTTCTGTTTAGGAAGCACAGCATGACGGAATCAACAAGAACATGGGCAAAACAACTAACACCATCACACCAAAACACCCTTCTCCTAATACTAAGCCCAAAATTTGGCTTCTGCCTTCAAAGGAAGCCCCCATCCTTATAGCTGTGAGATTAGTAATGTTCTGCCTTCTTGTCTTGGGGTGGCATTTTTACTGGAAAGTTCCTACATATATTTCTGAAAAGTGACGAGGCTATGCTAATGATGATGACAATAGAATAGATGATCTATGTACCTTATAATTTTTTAAATTTATGGTTATTTGTAAATATATTGGAGCTCAAACAAATAAATTGGAAGAATTGCCCTAATTATTTGTGCTCCAATTGAACAAAGTAAACCCATTGTGTAGAGATGCATCACAATGAACAGTTTCTTTGCATGGTTAGGAATAATTGAATTTGTAACTCAGTTTGGATCTTCTTTTTCCCTCCATTCCCACCCACTCCTCCTCCAATGCCCAGCCTGATAAAGGCCCTGAAACTAAACACAAAATGTCCACTGTGGTTCCCTTTGGCACTGCAGTGTTCAGATAAGGGTATTCTGTCCTATCTGTCCTGCAGCAGAGTGGGAATACAAATCCCTGCCTGCTCTCTCAAACTAGTTTTTCATCCACAATTGCAACTAGATTGGGATGTTAACTGAAGCTCAGACATTTGAAGCACCTTGACACTTTGTAACAGGGTCAACATATCCTTATCTGTTTGACAATTGTAACTTGTGGCATGGCGTGGTCTCCAAACATCTACGGGAAGATAAAAATGACCCCTGGACTTCCAGAACTTGACTACTCCTACTGTAAAGGTAAGTGAAGCTGAGAGATAATGACTGGTCCAAGATTATCCTGTGAGCATCATAGTTAGCTGGAGCTCTGAATCCAGGACCAGCACTCATATCACACTGGCTCTCAATGTGATTATTAACTGACTTTACTCTTATCAAGGTTTTAATGTTATGTGTTTAATCCCTATTATACACTTCCTCGAGGGTCTTATGGCAACAGCTGGTCTATACATATGTTAAAACTGCATAAATAGAGATCTAGGCACAGCTACAAGTAAAATTGATTTAGAAGGCCACTCTAATGGTGAGATTCGAGTATTCTATGCCATAGGTTGTTGTGGGTTTTCTGTTTTTCTGTTTGGCTGTGTTCTTAAGATTTTTCTTCCTAACGTTTCGCCAGTCTCTGTGGCCGGAGTCAGATCTCTGTGCACAGACAGAGGAAAACTCACAACAACCACTGTTGCCATTGTTCGGTGGCTATGAAGGAAGAAGCAGCTGGCATATTGTGACTGATAGTAGACTGGCCCTATCCACAAAGGGTGTTGGAATTCAGGAGTGGATCCAGAAAACACATGGTTGGGTAACCCTAACGCTAAGCCTATTACTAATGCTAATGCTAACCCTTCCACTAACACTGAATGCTTTGCAATTCCCAGAAAATACCTCACAGGTCATACAGTACAAGTTTTTTTCATCTGCCTGGCTTAGAGCTAAAGTGAGGAAGTGATTAATATGCAGATTGGTCCTAGAAATGTAGGTCTTTGCTCAAATAATGGAGCAAACGGCCAGCTGCTCATGAGGGCACACTTTGTCCAATAATATGTTAGAGTTTTAGGAAGTGGATTCTTTTTCAAAAGTGACACTTCCCATATCTCATACATTAGATGGATTGCTAAACTGCTTTTCAGTTGACAAATCAAATAGAGAAATAAACAAAAAAACTAGTTTCAAAAAGGAAGAAATTAACATCAGATAAAAAAATTCTGCTTCTAATTACAAGCTGTTTCATCGCCCACATCAAATGTGACCAGCGATCGGCTTTTATATAAAAAGGACTGACCGTCTGCCATCTTATTTGCTTTTCAGGTCAGTGCCACTCATCCCATCCCTCCAGCCAAAACGGTCACAACTTATGGATGAAAGGGATGTTGCTTCCAGGCTCCTCTTCATCTTCCAGGCATGGCATTGTTCACTTGGAAGGGATCCCAATGTCTCTTTCCAAAGAGATGGCAATAGAGAGAAGAGACAAGCTAACAAAATTCATCTCGGTAAATCTTTCAAGGAGCAGGCTAAGGCCTGTTGGAAATCGCAAAACAGTAAGCATGATCACTCAACTGGTGGAGAGGAATTGTTCCATTGTTGCTGCTAAACAGTGTATTTTGTATGAAAAAAACCCTCACCTGATAAGGGCAGATGAGGTCAAAACATGGATGCAGTTTTTGAGCACTGATCAGGTTGAACAGCCCATTCCCTTTCCCAAATGATAGGAAGGCTAAACTAGACATCTCACTTAAGTCATCGTTGGAAGGTGGAATTCCTTCAGTTCTAAGAATGTCTGATTATCATCGCAGGAACTTTTCACATCTCCCATAGTTCGTAAATTATCTTGCTCTTTTGTGCTTGGTCATCAGGCGCTAAACACGAAGTTGATCTTCAAGTATGCTTGCTTAGTCACAAATGTCTGCCTGAATGGGACACTAACTGGTATTCAATGATGGGTTGTCTGTAACATGTGGTTTGGCCCTAAGCTTCTGTTAGTAATCAGACTTAATTTTCCTTTCAGGTCCATCCTTCTTCTCTGTTTAGAAATGGCACTGATGTGTTTTTTAAAGTAAGTTGTTTGTATTGTTTGTTTCTTATTTTGTTATATTCTTAGTATATGTACTACCCCTAGTATATGTACAGACAAAGGATGGACAGGATCCTCAGAGAGGTGACCCCACTATGTGTGTGGATCCTTCCCCTTTCTGACTTATAAGAGCATCCAGAAGGGAACTGGGCAAGTGGATATTCTTGTTCTAAACCAGTCTCTGTTGTTGTTAATGGCCTGGATGAGGGTAAACAGAATTAAATTTAATCTAGAAAAGACAGAGGTGCTCCTGATCAATTGAAATGCTCTGTGGGAAAGTCATCTGGCTAGCCATTAAACTCTTGGGGGGGATGCCTCACTGAACTACACTTCCCATGGAACACTGAGGTTCTTTTAGTGTTTGTGTGATCATTTTCTTTATAATACCCGATTTTTTAATTTTTTAATGTATATTTGTAGCTCAATTATTCTGACCCACTTTGAATCATTTTATTAAAAAAGGTAGCATGCAAATAAAATAAAAATAAAAATGAGTAAATGAGTAGTGCTTTTTCTATTAAAAGAAAATACAATCTCATTCCATTTTACTTTTAAGTTAAAATTAGACATTATGGGGGCATGCTGATGTGTTTAAATGAGATCCGCCAACAATCAGGTATGCCAGATGACAAATGGGGACATAATCTGCCTGTTCACTTTCGCACATTCTAAATGCTTTTCTTCAAGTCAGGCTACCATATTAGAAGTGAATCCAGTTGGGGAAAAGCGATGCCAGGATACATTACAAAGAAAAACATTTGATGAAAGGATTCCCAGGAGTATGTTTGTTTTGCTTTTAAGACTGGATCCCTAGCCCCTTTTTATATTTGGCTAGGAACAACCGCAGTTTAATCCAGAGTTTGAAAAATGACTTT